ACACAATGCCTCCAGATGTCAGTAAAATGAGCTGAATGAAGCGAAGCCCCTTGTATGCAATTCCAGTGCCATGTGACCTCAATTTATACACCTGTTTCTGATAGGCATACCTAGACAGGCAGCATCATGAAGCCCAAGAAACTATCAAAACAAAATCAAGATAAAGGTGTAAAGAAGCATCAACCAGGATGGGGTTATTTTTAAAAAATCCTAAACTAGGAATATCCCCCAGACCATCATTAAATCCATTATTACAAAATCAAAACAACATGGTTCAACTGTGATTCTGCCACCAAACCTCAATGACCATGTAGGAAGGGTATTAGTCAAAGAACCAACCAAAGAGTCAATGGTACTCTGTAGGAGCTGGGGCAAGCCACAGATGAGACGGGAGATCCTGCCTATTCCATGGGAAAGCCATCATCAGCTGCTCCACTTTATGAAACAGTGGCAAGAAGAAAACCATTTCTGAAATAAACCCTGTTTCAAGTTTGTAGAAAGGCATGTGGATAAAGACTCTGGGCTGAGGGTACAAAAATGCACTTCTGGACCTTGTTATTATTATTATTATTATAACATTTCTATGCCGCCCCTTGCTGAAACCTCGGGGCTATGTGTGGTGCAAGGCTCATTGCCCTGGAAACACCATCCCCTACAGTGAAGTGTGGCTGTGGTGATAACATCATGTTGTAAGGACGCTTTTCCTCAAAAGAAACTGAAAACCTAGTAGGAATTATGGAGACAAGGGATGGAGCTGAATACAGGGCGAATATAGAGAAAAACCTGTTTCAGTCTCCAAGGGACCTGAGCAGTGGTTCCATTTCTAACCCTAACCACACAGCCAAACACCAGTGGTTTAAAAAAAAGAATCCAAATGTTCTAGAATGGTGCAGTCAAAGCCCAGACCAAAATCTGATCAAGAATCTGTGGCAGGATAGTACCCATCCAACCTGACAGAACTGAAGCAACTTTGTTGGGAAAAACAGGCAAGCATTGCAGGATCAAGATGCACAAAGCTGATGGAGACCTGCCCTACTCACAACTACAATTGCTAAGAAAGATGCTTCTCCCAAAGGGTGACTATTTCTGCAACCAGCAAGTGCTAGTTTGTTTTTGTTTAGTTAAACTTATGTGCCAAAATAAAAAAAGTTTTGTACCTTCACACTGTGACTATGGTGGATGCATGAAATGGCAACAAGGACAGCTCGATCTATTTCAGTCACATGTAGTAACACAAAAAAATGTAGAAAAGTCAGAGGAGTAAACACATCTGCAAGACACAGTAAGAATGTAGTTACTAGAATATTCCACAGGAGGCAGTAAGGGGTGAATAAATAACTATCATTGCCAAGTGTCCAAAAGAGAGCACAAAAGGAAGCAGCAAGCATGTTTGGTTGGTTGCTTGCTTGTTTGTACATAAGGCTGTGTATCATTTCATCAAGGTCAAGCTTGCAATTGCACAAAATGACATGTCTCAAGGATGAAGGGATTAAACCTGTGATGTTACTAATGATGAGTCAGATTAACATGTGGTTTTAAGATCTGAAAAAGGCAGGTGGCTGTTTTGTTAAGAAGTCTCTCTAAATATTTCAGTATACCATCTGATGAGTTACTAACACAGGGCTTAGTCTCCAAGATGACTAAGCCCTTTCCTCTAACCACTGATTGCTTGGGAGTTCCTACCATTCCTCAGTACCCCCACTTAAAGGGTTAAAATGCTTTTCTTCAGTTCTTAGTTTTCTTAGTTTCTGGTAGTAAGACCTTTAAAATAAAACATGCAGGTAATTTAGCTCTACCCCCTTTGCCCTGGACTCCACCCACCACTAAAATGTGAACCCTTCCCCACCAAAAAGGTCCAAAATGGAAGTGGGACCTCAGCTTGAGAAGGATTTTGCACCCCTGTGCAGCAATCCATGCTGCTATGTCACTTGGGCTTCATAACAGCCTCAACCAGCAGCACACAAGGACAGGGCTGGACCTACCACTATGCAGGATGAAAGGAAAACCAGTGAAATGCACTTCTGAGGGGCCCTGGAGAGCTCCACTAGCAGCTTTTCTACTGCGGCATTTGCCACAGCAAGAAAGCAACCACCAAGGCTCTTCACAGTAAGCTACAGGATGCAAAGCCAGCTGTCCTCAGTTATTACCACAGGCGACTGCAGACTGACCTGCTTTGGCCAGCCAGCTGGCCAGCAACTACTTGTTTGCACAGGCCTTGTTTCCCAGCCACAGGCTCCTGTGAGAGGGCACTTGATTAGATCGTCTGGTGGATCATGCGCAAGAGCTCTGCAGCTGGGGTGCATGGCAAGAGCAGGCAAGCAAACAAGGAGCTGGTTGAGGAGGTGGCTGGGCAAACCAGGCGTGGGTGAGTGAGCAGGAAGACAAGTCAGCAGCTTGACTGCTTGCAGCCACGTTGGCCCTTGCACCACTCTGCAAACTTCATTGTGCTACCACTGCCTCACTTGAAGCAGCGAAATATGTTGAGCCTGGTCTAAAGGCACAGCTGTTACCACTCCTTGCTCTCTGCCATGGCTACGTAATAAATGGGTGAAACATGAGTTATGGAAAGGGCACGATTCCCTTCCGCTCCACTGCAGAGCATTTTTAGGACTATTTGAAATGTGAAACTTCTCCTAGGCTCAATGAAAATACAAGGCTAGAGGGGATAGGCTTTTCACACAAGCTTTTTGTGAGCTGCCCCGAGGCTTTGTTGCTATGGGGGCGGCACAGAAATGTTTTAAATAAATAAAATAAATAAATAATAGTTCTGACACTCTTAGCAGGTATATAACCTGTGGCAATATATTATTTGCATCCGACAAACAATCACCAAAAGGCAAATATTTACAAGAATGGAGTGAAGCGACTGAAATGACTGGGAAATGACATTTCTTATGATGTCTTCCATGAATATGATGAAATATTCCATATAATATGATGTAATAATTATACTGAAGTAAGGTACTATTTATCACATCTGAGGTATACTTAATTGGATTTTCCTAATCTATAATTTGACATGTTGTTTCCTTCTCTACAGGAAGGAACATATAGGACACTTATAAGAAGGAACATGTTGCTTCTACATAGGGAAGCAACATTTTCCAGCGAAGCAAAATTCAATTATTGAATGGCTAAAACAGAACCTATTGAATTCAAATTATGTATTTACCACTCAAACCAGTCAACAGACTATGTACAAATAAGGCAGGTGTACTATGCATACACCTCTACAACATGGTACCCATCATGGTGCACATAGACATCTACCCAACTGATGTTTTTCCATTTTTAATATATGTATATGAATTTGCATGAAATGCATAAACTTTAGAGTAATAATAGACAAGCTTCAACAAAAGCAAACTAAATATTTGCACCTATATACTACTCTGTTCACTGAAAGCATTTTAAGGTCCTCAATGCATTGCATTATAGGATGCATTTATCCTTCCATTTTTGCAGCATCAGCCTATTAGCTGGCAAAATAATCTTTTCTTCCCATGAAACAAGTGAAATTCAAAAGAGTGTGTTCATCAGCAAATTTTGAAGACTCTTCAACTATTAAAAAAAAATACCATTGTTAGCAACAACTAGCAACTGCTATGTCAGAGCCTGCCAAACCCTATTTCACAATCCTTTTCTCTAGCTGCACACTGCCTTCCTGATGTCAAGCTCAAGCTTTGGTATCTCAGTGGCAGTGGGGCATCACAGCACACCACTTCCAGCAGCAGCAATGGCAGAGATGACCATGCTGGCGGTCCATTCTGCTCACTGTACTTTGCTGGAGCAGTGCTCAAAAAAGCTTAGAGTTTGTGCTACTTAGGAAACCAGTGGTCTACTTTTGTGAAGGTAGCCATACACGTGAGGGACAAAGGTGGCATTCACTTTACAATATAGACTGCTCTCTATATTGCAGATTTTCTAGTTTATTTTCAATCTACTGGAACACCTGAGCTTCTTTTTGTGACCCATTAATGAAATTAAGCATGCTGCTCCATTGATTGCCCCTTCCATAGCTCTGTACTGAAATGGAATTTTAAATGTGATTTCATATTAATTGGTATAGAAACATCACAAATGTGAAGGTCTTAGGGATTTTATTACATTCAGCAGTGCAGAGAATTACAAATATATAATAAACAATGTATCCAAAGGTATAACTCACTGCATTCAAGGGTCCATAATCCCAAATCATTCTTGTCTGGAAGTAAAATCAAATTGAACTCCAATGCACTGACTTCTGAATAACAAGCACTGAGTCGGGCTGTCCGACTGATTTGATTTAATCAATTTAAATTAATTCAATTTATTCATACAACCGGCTAATTTTAATAGCATTTGCTTCCACATAAACATGCACAGGATAGTTGTTCTACGACACCTTACACGCACCCGCTCAGAATTAAGCGCCAACAAGCGAAGTTCTGATCTGGAGGTGAATAAGCGTGCCAAGGCTTCTATAAGGCCAAGGAGCGTCTAATCCCATTCAGTTTGTCAATTCTGTTCCAGTTTAGACAAGAAAAAAGGCCTACGACTCCCAGCATGCCCCAGCCAACTGCCTTTTGCCATTTAAATTTGCATAGTCTCGAGCCTTTCAGGGATGCCGTCATGAAGGTGGGGACGGGAGGAAACGCCAACACAATTGTCACCTTCCTTTGTAAACAAAGCGTTTTGCTGGATGGAAATGCCAATTTCGCTTAAGTGCAGTGCCGAAGCGCGGTTCTCAGGGAACAATAAGCAGTTAAACGTGAGCAACTGCTCAACGCACGCGCCTTCCCCGCCCGAACAAGTTACGTTACGCAAAGTCTTCAGGGCGGGGCTGGCGCACGCGCTCGTGCAGCCTACGGCGCATGCGTACAAGGTGATCCAGCCGCCTCTCTACGCCCGTTCCATCAACTGTTTCTTCCGCTTTGACTTCCCATCCGGCCAGCGTCCGCTCGGGCTGGCGCGTGCAATGCGTGACGTCAGAACGCTCGAGCGGAAGCGGAAGAGCAGCTACGATTTTATTCCGGCCGGCTGTGGAATTTGATTGAGGAAGTCGGAGGACGCCTAAAACTTTTATTTTTCAAAATATAGTTTGATATTTCCCCTTCCTCCGCTCAAGGGAGGAGGGGTTTTTTTTTCTTCTTGAAGTGGGCTTTGGTGTGTGGCCTCTCAGTTAGGTCCCCTTTCAGCTTCCTTGGCCCCTTCTCTCTTCTCCCCCTGTCAGCTCCGCCCATCATGGCGGCCACAACCAACCTGCAGGTGAGCATCTCCCGTCAGGCTCGGGTGGGCGCGTGGGAGAAACCCTGCCAAAATTCCAGAAGCTGCTGGGAGGGGGCCCTGTGAGGTGGTCGAAGCATCGCTAAAGCGGAAACTCTTCGTAGCTACTGTGTGCAATTTTATACTTCCTGGGTAGACCGATGGGGAAGGCCCCAAGGATTAGATCAGTCTTTCCCTCAACAGGAGGCCTTCATAGATCTGTTGGCCTATGGTTCCTATCATTCACTGACAGAGGAACCATATCTGAGAATGGGTAAATGGAAGGAGGCTGGATTAGAGCAATTAAGCCAACCCCTAGTCTGGTACTATCCAAATACCTCTCAGTATTTCTGACCATGACTATATTGGTTGGGTTCGGTGGGAATTGAAATCTTAGACATCTGGAATGCATCAATTTGGGAAAGGATGGGACAATTCATCCTCAGGTGCCAGATCTCTAAATGTCAGGTGTAGGAGCACATGACAGGGGAGGGCCTGGTGCTATCATGCTTTGTGCATGAACTTCCAGGAAGTTGTAGGAATGAAACAGGTTGCTGAACTGTTTGGACTTTGGATTGATCCAACATGTCAGTCCTCCTTATGAGAAGATGAGGGCCTTTGAACATGCATAAAACATATTTCCATTATTGCCGAGACGAATCTGTATTCAATCTCTGAATATCAGTTAATGGACAAGTTAACAGTTCTGGTTACTGAAACCAAGTCTTATGGCAAGTCAGATGATCAGGTTCTTTAGTTAGATATTGTCAATACTGATAGTGGTTCTCTGGGATTTTAGATAGGAGTCTCTTTCATCCTTATGTGGAGATGCCAAAGATCATATATAGGATGTTTTGCATGCAAGATTTCTGCTCTACCATTCTCTACAATCTTTCCTGTAGCAAGCTGCTTAGTTAAGAGTAATTCTCTGTCAGACAAACATATCTGCATTGTTGCTGCATAAGGATAGTGCCACCCTAGGACAGCTGCACAAAAGCCGGAGGACAATTTATTTCATAGAATCGTATTGTTGGAAGGGGCCTGGAAGACCATTGGTTTCCACTTCCTGCTTAGTGCAGGACTAAAGTCTTCCATCCAGATGCTTATGAGGCCTGACCCTGTTTTGTTCCCATGGTTAGTCAGGATCAGGCAGTTTAGGCTATATTTCATTTCTTCCCCTTTGCTTGTGGCTTTCCTGTAAGTATCTTGCTGAGCAACAGTGGTTGCCCACTTCCTTAATAATTAGCTAAAATACCCTAAGTGTTCCAAACTGTTGAATGAAGATATAGCATGCCGCCCTAACCACCCTCCAGTTTTGTTTTGTTTTTTCCTTAGAATCTGTGTTTGTAGCCTTTCCCACTTCTTCCCATCCCAACAACCACACCTCGTGGCCTCTGGATTTATACTGGTCCCTCCCCAATAATTTCTACTTTACATTTGGCGAAAATATATAGAGATGAAGCAATCTGATTTCCTTTCTGATCCCATATTTGACCTTGCCATGATGCCTTTGCTGCTTTCTGGGCTACCTTGATCGCAGGGTGTGGCTAGTAACTGAAACAGGATGGCAAATAAGAAAGGCAAGCCTGTTTTGTTGGTAGCTGTTACGTGATTCTGATTCAGTTTTACTTTCTTCAGTTGTTTCAGGAATTTGGTTACATTTATTGGTTAGAATGACATGTCCCTATTTTCAACTATTGTTGGTTCCTTACAATATTACATGCATAGCCTGCTCTTACATGGAACTTTCAGGAGTTTGCTGTCTAGATTCCCAACCAGGTCTATATTCACTTAGCATAAGCAAAGCATATGTTCTTGTCAGACTTCTTACTGGGCCCTTCCTCCTCCTCTTGAAGAAATATTTGTGCAAATTAAGCAATGTGAAAGACTTTACATACTTTGGTAGTGAATTTTAGGAGGGCCCCATTCCAAAGGAGAGTCATTTAAGCATGCTTGTAACAACTTGATTACATTTATTGCAGTTATATCCTATCTTTTTTCCTTCCAAGAAACTTAAGGCAGCTTACATAACTCTTCTCATCTCAATTGTATTCTCATAATAACAACCCTGTGAGATAGTATGAGCTGAGTGTGTGACTGGCCTAAAGTCACACAATGAGCTCCATGGTTGAGTGGGATCTAGAACCCATACTGCCTGAGTCTCAGTCCCACACTCTTAACCACTGCACCACAGGCTCTCATTATATGAGTAAAATGGACTAGTCAAATTATATTCAGGGTAAGTAGCATATTAAGTGGTCTGGTGATCCTACCCTTACAGTTGAAGTGACTGAAATTTTTAGCAGTTGGGATCATAGAAACTGTAAGGGGGGAAAGAACTGTAAGAGAGAACTAGATGACATATTCTAGAGCAGTGATGGTTAACCTTTTAGAGACTGAGTGCTCAAACTGAAACTCAGAACCCACTTATTTATCACAAAGTGCCAACACTGCAATAAAACCTCAATTTGCTGACTACCAGCACTAGGGGCAACTTTCCACTGACCATCAGCTTTTGGCTGGCCCTGAAAAAGACATCTGAGTGTATTTTCTACCTTTCCTACCTTCTGCTAAAATCACAATGGGTTGTGCAAACTTGAACTGGCTACCTTTCGATCCCACTAAAATCACAGTCCGTGCAAATCACTGGCACCTCACTGACCAGCCATGGGAAAGCTCAGAGAGTTGGGGCTAATGAGGTTGTTGCCTGGCGCCTTTAATCTTTCCGAATGGCTGCTGGGGCGATTACATGCCGACAGATAGGGCTCTGCATGCCCCTTCGGGCAGGTGTGCCATAGGCTCACCATCACTACTCTAGAGTATAGGATTTTATGAATGCCTTTTCAGTGATGAAGAGTGAAACATAACAGCACATTCCAATGCATTTCTACTCAGAAGTGAGAAGTATTATTGAGCTTAATAGAACTTAGTTTCTAGTAACTTTATACAACAGAGTTGGGCAATTTGTCCGTCAAAACTTTTGAAGGGTTGCAACTCCCATCAGCCCTTACCATTGCTTATACTGGCTAGGACTGAGGGAGTTTCTGGCCAGAACATTTGCCTGCACCTGTTTATTGACTTTGCAGACTAATAGGTAGGAATTAGATTTGTGATGGTGACTGGGTTTGTTAAAATGTATGAAGCTTTTGCATAGTAGTTTGTAGTTGTATATAACTTAAGACTGCAGAAGTTGTAAGGAGCAGTTACCTCATTGCTTATTCTTGCCCCCCAAAATTGTTAACATTGTGAATGTTGCTATTTACCTTTTAGAGCAGATACTGGCACTTACAAGTGCAAAAAAAAGTGATGTGGACAAAAAGTTACGGGAAGGCAATAGCTTCTAGACAGCAGTTTTAAACATTTTCAGCCAGCAAGCTGAATTCAATTTCACAGAAGATTTTGGAGGCCACATTCCAGTGGAACATGGGACAAAGGAAAATTGGGGTGGGGCCAAAATATTATAAGACCTAGCATATTTTTGCATAAAACTCATATTGGCAGTAAGTAAGTTTTTGGGCAGGCATTTCTGTTGGGCTTTTGTTTTGCATTTTTAACAAAGGGGGATAATACTGCAAAGGCTGGGAAACCATGAAGTGAACAGTATTTGGGGAGGAAGGGAAAGGGTCAGGGAAGGCTGTGTAGCCATCTAGAAAATCCTGGAAAGCTGGATAGGTTGCATGAGCCTGCTTTAAACCAGGTGCCTGTTAGCACAGTGCAAAGAAGAAAGAAGCTTAGTGTTTGTGCCTATTTCTATCCACTGCTGAACTTTACAAAGATTTCTTTCAGAGAACTCAGGACTCGATATCAGGGGTTGAAAGGAAAGCTCTTGTCTGTAATTCATGCCCCTGCCCTATTGTATAATCATCTGAACATTTTTGAACTCTTCAGTATTCTCTCAGAATATCTAATATATTGTAGGATCCAGGCATCAAGTATAATGAGCATATGTAGTCTTATGTGCACAAATGCACTGTTAGGTTAAGTTGGAGTTTTCCTACATACCACTAGAAAAATGGCTAGGTAATATTGTTCTAGCCCACCCCAAAAGCAGATATTGTATGCCTATTTATATTCTTTTGACTGTCTCCCTAATTTTTGTGCTTGCCGTTACTGAGGTAGTTATTCACTTTTATTTGCTGAAAGGTCAGTAACATAATTTGCAAGTCATATTTCTTAAGCTTTTAGTAACCTTGGTAATTTGCTCTACCATCTATCATCTTGAAGGATGCAACGCTTTCTGATCCACATTTTTTTCCTGTATTTCTATATTAGAACTGTTGTTTAAGTGCCATTACAATAATAGTTTTAATTGTATTTCTATTACTTTATTTATAGAAAGCAATAGACCTCGCTAGCAAGGCAGCACAAGAAGATAAAGCAGGGAACTTTGAGGAAGCCCTTCGTCTGTATCAACACGCTGTCCAGTATTTCCTCCATGTTGTCAAATGTAAGAGTATGGTAAATCTAAGCTGCTTTTTGCTGCTTTTTAACAAACCTTCACATTCTTGAAAGTTATAGAAGTACATTTCAAATTCTATATGGCAATGCTTTTATTGAATCTGGCATCATATGAATGGTTTTCAAAACTATTGGTAGTTATTTTTTGGAGCATAAAGTCTAGGTGGAAATGATGGTGGTGGAAGAGGGCTTATTTCCTTGGAGGAAAATTTATCTAATAAAAATTAGCCAACTATTTATCCTTGTTAATGCTTTTTCTGAAGTTTTTCTGAATTGTTCCAGGGCTTAATGGAATAGTACATTTTGCAGATGTCTAGGAAAAGTAAACACAAACAAAACTTTGCCAATCTGCAAACTACATAATGGATAATAATGGATAAATAACTGCTGCAGTTCAGTTTATTGAGTTGTACATGTGTGAAATCTGAGGATGGTCAATTAAAGAAAATCTTACAGAGTTCAAGGGTAGAACTTGGATGGTCAGATGGGAATGAAAGAGGTAAAAATATCAAAGGAGGTTGAGAGCAAATAGCTGAGGAAAGTGTTAGAAGGGAAAAAGGTCCTTCCAAAACAATTGTAAGATTATGAAAAATTGCAGGAGGAAGTTCTGTGAGCAGGATCCAAGCTAAGTTGGTAGGCAGTAACGAAGATTAGAAAGGATTGGATATGTGGAACACATAAAGACAAAGAAAAATCAAGTGAATATTCAAGCACTCTGTAAAGGTTAGCACATCTTCCCAATAATCTGATTGCTGGTACAAGGTTTCAGCTTATTCTTTTCTGTATTAAATGTTCTGTAGTAAAACATTAATCCCTGCAAATTTTTTCATGTATTTTTACACCATGATACATACACAGCCATTTTTTAATTTTATGTATTTGTTCATTTTTGTTGAGTCTTGTTAATATGTATAGCATGTTTTCTCTGGCCTCACAGTGTCTGAAGAAGAGTTCATAGATATTTAAAAGCTGGCACATTCTTATTATTGAATGTGTTTCTATAAGAGGTTTCATCTTGCCTTGTTTGTCTCCAAGCCAAGAGGATAACATGCATTATTCAAAATTAAATAATCCTTTAAGTACAGTGGTACCTCAGCTCAGTTCACAACCAAATCGGGTCGCAAACAGAAATTTTATAAAAATTTTGCCACAGGTCGCAAACTCCGCATCAGATGATGATCGCGCCCGCCTTTCCTGTACGGGCGCAATCGTGGTAATGCTGGGGGGGAAGATGGCCGTGATTGCACCCAACTCCCCTGAAAGAGCGCGACCACAATCGCGCCCATTTCTCCCCCAGCACGCCCATGATCACGCCCATCTACCCCCACCCCCAAGCACGATTGTGGCCATCTCCCTGCCCCCTGCAACACGATCATTGTTCTTTGTAACTTCACTTCAAATTTTTGTGAGTAAAAAAAAAATAGTTTCAGAACAGATTATCCTTATTTACATTGAACCTTATGGGGAAATTTGACTTGGCTCACAACCAGAGTCCTGGAACGGATTAAGTTTGTGAGCCAAGGTACCACTGTATTGCATTTTTGTAATTGCCAATCAACAGAAGAATGAATAGACTATGCATTGCTAGCGTAATAGACAGTTTTAATCTTTTCTTGTGGTACACTACATTTCTTAAAGTTAATGGTAATGTTGACCCATATTGTGAAGCAGAATACTTTCTCATTCTCAGATGAAGCACAGGGTGATAAAGCAAAACAAAGCATAAGAGCAAAATGTACAGAGTATCTGGACAGAGCAGAAAAGCTGAAGGAATATCTGAAAAAAAGAGAAAAGGCTCCCCTCAAACCAGTGAAAGAATCTGGTCCAGCTGACGAAAAAGGGTATATTAACTTATTGCAACATTTTCCAAATTTGCTTGTCTATTAAATGCTTTTAGTGGTGATAGAACACTGCATGATAGAAAAAATTCCTTATTCAAAATTCCTTTTTGTGATTTATTGCTTCATTAGCATATATTCTTTATTGGTTCTAAAATGGATCCTAGATTATAACTTATTACTCTTTCAGTTATGTTACCGTTTCATCACTATTTCTTTTTCATAGTTATGGAGTTTCTGTGTGGTATGATTTTTATGCAGTGGGTGAGGGTAGAGTAATAAATCAACAGGAATGTGCCCTATTTAGATGGACCACACTGCCTGTTTCATGGTATGCATTTATAGAGACAAACAGGTGATCAGGAAAATATTGGGTTAGAACCAGACTTAATCATAATCAGAGTGGACTCACTGAAATAAATGGGATGTAAGCTACTCATGACAAACAAGCAGTGATGTGGGCTTTCTGGAAAAAGTAGAATTAGAAAAATTTTGTGGAAATGTTCCAACGCTCTTAATAACCAGTTCTGTCACTAATTTCTAATAGTTTCCTGTATGTCTCTTGTATTTTTCCAGCACAGTTTCTGTATGTTAAATGCTTTTTCATTCTTAATATGTTCCTGCCCACAGTATTTACCTGTTCCGACTGTCTTCAGTGTTTGCACTGTAGTGATGCCACCTACTAGCTATCTAGTGTTTTGGCATTATGACTTAAAGTAACTGCAACCATTGAATGGTTAACGATTCTTATCTAAACACTTTCAAGAGAAGGAATGAGGCATTTCTCTGAGAAAAGTGAAATGAGTAAAAATCTCAGTCTTTTTTTCAGTGATCATTCCATTTGTTATTGAACAATGTTAATAGAGGGCAAATGCACCACGCATAAGTCTAACCGAAGCCCACCCTGGAACCAGCTGCATTCTGCATAGGAAGGGCTTGTGCCACTGTATTTCTCAGTTCCCCCATGGACAAGTGAGCACTAGGGTTTGTCAGTGCTTACCTTAGAAGAATAACTTGTGGGAGTTCATCTCCTATTCTTAGCCTATTTACCATGATTGATTTCAGTATAGCAACCCAGACAATTATGGATGAACTCAAGCATGCATAGGTTGGATAATTTTCCACAAAAATTATCAGAACATTTCCTATCCCGCATCACTGCAAGCAAGCCTTATCGCTGGCTCTACTCTATATTGACTGTTTGTAGATTCAGCTTATGGTGTTCAAATAAATGTGGTGTGCCCATTTCATTCATTACCTTTTCCTTGCACTGAGCATGGAGAATTGCAAGCCTCATATTAGATGGGAAGTTCCTCCTGGAACATAATTTCTAATGTAGTTTTGTGCATCCCTCTAGCAGCAGCTTTTTGAGATGTGCATGAAAACCAGTTTCAGGAAAAATCTAGGGATTTCCCTTTCCTCAGTGGGTTGACAATTGGGGTGAAAAGGTTTTTTTAGTTAGTTAGCTGGTATGCTGTCATGACTTTACTTTTTATAGTCAAGCTTCTCCATGGAACCTTGTGTGTGTGTTTCTGAGAAATGAATGAAAATTACTAGGATCTAAATTATATGGTACTAATGAAAGATTTTTCTTAAATTATCCACAAAAGCTACTTTTCCATTACTCTTTTGGCAAAATTCTTAAACTAGATCTTTTGTCATGCTAGTATTTTTTACATGTTTTCTGAGGGAAGGGTCTTTTAATACAAATGTGTGATTTTTATACTTAAAGGATGTTTTTGTTCTAGCTGTGTGCTTTTACCTTTACCAAATTAGGAATGATAGTGATGGAGAAGGAGAAACAGATGATCCTGAGAAAAAGAAGTTGCAAAATCAACTGCAAGGTAGCTTTGCCTTACTCTCTTCATGGTGTGAATAAAGTAACAGAAAAACTGCATTCCTCCATATAAATCTGCCTGGGTTTTAAGGTTTTCTATATAAAGAGGTCATTTTTGTAATCCCAATTGTCAGAGGCATTTTTGGTTGGAACATAAGAGAGGGCCTTCTTGGTGGCCTCTCCCAGTTTCTGGAAGTCTAGGTTCAGTTAGCACCCTCTATATTGGCCTTCCACTGGCAGGCAGATACATTTTTATTCAGGTAGGCCTTTGATAAGTGTTGCAACTTAAGGTGGTTTTGTTATGTTAGGGCTCTTCCCTCTGTTGTGTTTTTAATCATGTTTATTCATTTCATTGTTTTAATTTTATTTTGATCTCATTATTTTAGTCATTGTGTGCCATTTTTAGTGGTAAAGTTAGATATATAACTAATAGTAAGTTAATCTAGTTGTTGGGACAGGAGTTGCAAGGTATTTTAATAGCGACTATTAGATGTTTCTATTAGTGGGGCAGAATCTGCTCCCACCTGTAGAATGAAAAAGTTTTTTTATTTTTTTCTCTCGACTATTTGCAGAAGCTTTTTTCCTTCTTTCGCTATTTCCCTGCATTATTTTGTTTCTTTCACTATTTAATCCCAGGCAGACAGGAATTTTAGTGAGCAAGATCATTGTATGATGCTACAGAATGCTACATATTTAGGTATTTAACATGCTCACTGAAGCTAAGTGAAGCAGGACTGCCCTCATAGGGTAGGATGGTGGCTATTTCTGTCCAATTTTGCATTACAGTTTCAATTTGTCTTGCATGCAGGAAAACTGTTGAGTGTTCTCCAGTTGCCTCAGCAAGGATGGGGAATATTTCCAATCATGTTGCATTTCAGTGGGTGATGACACTGCCTGTGTAGCATAATGTGGGCAGCTGTGGAATTGGCTCACAGCTGCCTCAGTAAAGAGGGGGCACTTGTGGAATGTGTGAATAGTTTCCTTCCTGTCTTCCAGTCTCTTCAAGGGTGTGGGTTGGACATGAACATGGTAGGCATGTCATGAGCGGAGCTAGCTGGAGCCAGGGGCCAGACTTGATGGCCCGGGAGGCCCCTTCTGGCTTGCTATATTTCCATCACTTGCCCCCATTTAAAGAAAAATTACTGTGTTCAACCCTAATAAAGAAAATGTCAAAGAAAAACATTTAGTTGTCTCAAATCATTGTGGTCTGTTGATTGAAATACTGTGGTACGAAGCAGCACATGATCCTGATTAGGCTATATTTCCTGCTTACAAGAAACATTATTAATTCACCATGTTGATTTTGCAAATATTGGAGCTCAGGAAGAAGCCCCTTTTTAAAGTTTAATTGTACAAAGGTTGTTTGTTCTTAAGCTTACCTATCCCAACTTAGCCCAAGAGTGACAAATCTGAACTGAATACTAGGTTCTGCTTTAATGGTAAAATTGACATGTTATTTAAAAAAAAACATAGAAATTAATTGAACCTTTTCAATAGTAGTGTTTGGTTTCATAGGTGCCATAGTCATGGAGAGACCAAATGTGAAGTGGAATGATGTTGCTGGCTTAGAAGGAGCCAAAGAAGCTCTTAAAGAAGCAGTAATATTGCCTATTAAGTTTCCTCATCTTTTCACAGGTAAAAACATTCGGATGTAAGTTTCACATTCCCAATGTCTGACTTGATTCTTTTAATAATTACATACTGTCATTCAGTTTAAAATTCTTTAGATGATCAGAGAAGGCATTCAGAGCATCTGTAATATGGCAGAGTGCCCAGCTGAAGAATCTGTGCTTGGATATCCCAGCTGGTGATCATTTCATGGGACAAAAGTTTGTGGCAATGGAAATTGAGAGTTAATTCAAGCAGAGCACATGGTAGTGTTAAAATTGTAGAAGGTGCTTCTCAGATTGTGCAGTTTACCTCAGATCAGACATAGCAAAACAATGAATTTAAGTATATTAGTGGAATTGTGCATTTCTAGGCATGAGTGGAATTTAATCAGTATCTACCATAAATCAAAGACTCTCCACTTTGCTCCCAGTCTATAATCCTTATCTAATATCAGACATTCCTCTACAGTGGTACTTAAGGAATGATTTTCCTGGTCTTCAAAGACTGGTCTTCAAGTTTCTTGAATCCATGAAGCTAGGGAATCTGTGGATCAGCTTCATAGAAATCTGAACTCATTTGACTTTTGTTGCAGATTTCTCCAACAACCCTACTAAAGGTCTAAGCACATTCCAGGAACATGGAAATGTGTAGGGACTGATCCTGCTTCTCCCTTCTTCTTAAACAGAACTTATTTAGTTATTTAAAATTCTTCTAATGGTGGTTTCCGAAAAATAAAATTAAATTAAAACAATTAAAAACTCCTTAGGGCCAGTACTTGATAATTAAAATACCATTTCACAATTTAAAAACTGAGTAAATATGTTTTGGCCTGGCACCAGACTGAATAAGATGTTGGCACCAGATGTACCTCTTTAGGGAAGGTAATTCTAAGACATTCTAAGGTAGTTAGAAGGCAGTCTTAGCATTTAAGTAGGTTCATGTGGGAGTAGGCAGTCCTTTAAATATGCAGGTTCAGAGCTTTATGGGGCTTTATTGCAGCTGTCCAATCCAGTTGTTATCTAAACATGGATAAGACTGATGAGGCTATCGCTTTGGAAACAGTTGCTGCTTTAATATCAGCCTGGGCTGGTATATACTATTTTGAGTTACAGATGGCACCTGAGTGTTGAACACAACAAAGTTCAAACCTGTGGTCTCTATCAGCATATTTGTGCTTCCATAAACAGGGAAACTGGTGCTGAATTGACTTTTCCAGAAAACATAAGTATGTATGTTTCCAGCATATGTAAAGTGCATCAGAATTATTAATTCATACAGATTTATTGGTACAATCTTGTCAGTAGCTGCTTCAGGAATCTCATATCTAGATTTAGGAATCATGTTTTTTCTGCTGTTCCATGGGAATAATGTCAAAAACACACACATGGTAGTTGAAAAAGTAAGAATAAAATGTGGGAGCTGATCATCTAAATATGTTTCAAGTTGTTATTAGGTGATTTTTTCTTTTGTACCATAGTCAAAACCAAACTGAATGTGTCATTCCATAAGCAATACTTTTTTGTGTGTGTGTGTATTAACTTAGGAAAGAGAACCCCTTGGAGAGGGATCCTTCTCTTTGGACCTCCAGGAACAGGGAAATCCTACTTAGCAAAAGCTGTTGCAACAGAAGCTAACAATTCTACATTCTTCTCTGTATCTTCTTCTGACCTTGTCTCAAAATGGTTGGGAGAGAGTGAAAAGTAAGTAGCAACACTTCAAAGCATAGAAGCTTCTAAGCTTTTTCTGAATATTAAATCTACACATAAGCCTTGATAGCCTGTACCTTAAGGCCATTCTAGTGAGCCACTCTTATGCCAATTCCAGGAACTGACTATATCCGGCACAGTTGTTTTTCAAGACTTGCTATGCAGATTGTGGCTTAGGAAATCTAACATACCACTCTTTGTGTGTGGTCAGGTGTGAAACCTGGATATAAAAGGAAATAACAAGGCTTTTGGGGTGAAAAATAAGAGAAAAAAGAGGCATGGATGCCATGAATTAAAAAAAAAAAAAAAACAGCAATAGAATCAGTATTGAGAGATCATCAAACTGATTAACTCCTGACTACAACATTTTAAAAGTATAAAGAAGACAATGGGACAATGCATTGCAATAGCAAAATGTATGCTTTGCAATGCACCAACCATGATGTTCATGTTTTTAGACAGTGTAACTATAGAAAATGTTCTTGTTTTATATTATTGTAATACATTGCATTTTACCTTGCATATTGTGAAGATTCCTGAAATTCTAATCACCACATAATATATTGATGGTTCAGAGCAAGGGAGAAATGCCCAAGAATGTATAAATTTGCCATTTAATTTGTCTTAAATTATATGAAACAGCTGGGTATAAGATAAGCAGTTGGGCTTGCTAAACAATAAGATTTGCTATCTGGCCATATGTGAAAGATAAATAGCTAAGAAATAATTTAAAAACTCTGCATCCCAAAATGTTAGGAAGACGTGTTCTTACACTTTCCTCCTGTAATTAAACTCTTCCATAGGCTAGTGAAGAATTTATTCCAGCTCGCTAGAGAAAACAAGCCTTCAATTATCTTTATTGATGAAATAGATTCTCTCTGTGGTTCCCGAAGTGAAAATGAAAGTGAGGCAGCTCGTCGGATTAAGACCGAGTTTCTTGTTCAGATGCAAGGTCAGTTTATTGGCTTTCTGGAGTGGCATAGTTAAAGTAACTTATATAGAATATTGCGACCTATGACACACATTATCTTGTGCAGGTTAATCTGTGGATATGAAAGTTTTTAATGATACTAAAATTAATTGACCTCCATGTTGTGCATTCTCCATATTGTACATTGTATCATAAAGGTCACTGATTAAGTTTACCTGTTCTGATTAGGAGTTGGAACAGACAATGAAGGAATTTTGGTTCTGGGGGCTACAAACATACCTTGGGTTCTAGATTCTGCCATCAGAAGAAGGTAATGTATAATAACCTAAATAAATTCACTACAAACCCATAACTTGATTCCAGATCATTTAGGATTGGAGGCCTACTTGTTCATCACTGCTACAGGACCACATCCCTGCTGATGTCAAGAGCACACCGTGGCCCTTTTTGTGCAGCTGCATTATTGATAGTGTATCAGTATCAAAAGATAGTGGCTGGCAGAATGCTCCTTCCTCCCTTCCGAAACACAAATTTATTTATTTATTTATCGATTTATATCCTGCCTTTTTCCTACAAAGGGCTCAAGGCAGCTTACATTATTCTCCTCCTCCATCTTATCCCCACAACAACAACCCTGTGGGGTAGGTTGGGCTGAGTGTACTTTTCTGGGCCTAGAATACTCCTCTTTATCCAAGATGGCTAAAGCTACACAGTTCTAGGGGACTGAGCTACTGAACACTATATGTTGTAAATTGTTTGCTTCATCCTCCTTACAGAAATAATTGCAAGATCTGTGTTGGTCTAGCGCATCATTTTATTGGACCGATGCAGATGTAACCATGGCTTATTAAACTGAGAAGGCGAATTGCCACACTTGCAACGCACTTCTCTCCGAATACGCAGTTATCTCTCAAATCTTGCTTAAGAAGCAGGCATTGATTCGCATTTACCTGTTTCAGATAGAATGGGCAACAGTAGTTTAAAGAGACCAAGTCTGAAGCACCGAAGTAAGAGGGGGAATTGATAGGCACAATAAACATTTGCTCTTGGTGTGCAAGAATGTTACATCCAAAATGATCCTTATTTGATCATACAAACAATTCTTTTATCATTGTCTTGCTGTATCTGTTTTGATTACATGCTTTTCTTACAAATACAGAGTTAAGACTATCATGTTGATGTTATTTTTTACAGCATAGAATACTGTAAGGCAATGTTAGAAATGCACCAATGCTGGGTACTATCTTAAAACCTTAGCCTTAAGCAGAGATGCAAAATTTCAGGGTGGGGGGAGCAGGAAGTTCAGCAAACAAAAAGAATTGAATAATTGAAAAGAAGCTGAATGCATTCCAAGCTAATGCAGTGCTGAATACTTTTTCAGATGGGATGGTTTCTGTGTTTCACATCTCTCATTTTATGGCTGGGTTTTAAAAAAACCCTATCACATAAAGATAGATGTGCTAGAAAAGCAAATCTTAAATTTGTATGAATTGTCACATTTATGGACAGGTATTAGTGTTTGTGATTTTTTTGATAAGGTTTGAGAAGCGTATTTACATTCCCTTACCTGAGGATCATGCAAGAGCTGCAATGTTTAAGCTCCACCTTGGGACCACACAGAACACCTTAACTGAATCAGATTATCGAGAGCTTGGAAAAAGAACAGATGGCTACTCAGGTGCTGATATCAGCATAATAGTACGAGATGCCCTCATGCAGCCTGTCAGGAAAGTTCAGTCAGCCACACACTTTAAAAAAGTGAGTAACTAGACCTTCTAAATGTTTTTTGGTATGTTCACCATGGTTAGTAAACTGGTTGGTGTCTCTTCTGTAGCTCTGTTCTTCCCTCATAGTTAAAAACTGAAGGGATGGCAGAGACTTCCTCCGTGCTTAACAGGTACCCAGAAAACCTGCCTGATGCAAAAGCAACTGATTCCCCTTTCCCTTCCAGCTTGCAGCTGAAAGGAAGAGGCGGAGCCTCCTCAACTTCTCCTGCCTTTCTTCTTGATGGGCACTCAGAGCTTGAGAACCCTTTTTGGGATTACCAGAAGCTACATACCTTTATCTTTTACTGAGCAAGTTGAGACCTGTGACAAGGATTTCTAATTGCTGTCTGTTCTTGTGCCAGTGAAGAGCCACCACAAATACCAGGCAGAGCTGGGCCGGTCCTCTTCCCTCTTTAGTTCCCAGTTCAGAGGAAGTTTTGTGCTCATCTTGCTCACCAGATGCAGCTACTCATCTCACCACAGGCTTCACTGGGCTAGTGGTATTAACCATTCTTAGATCTTGGCATTTTCAGTGGAGGAAGCTATTGTAGATGATAAGGGAAAATGAGGCAAAAGGTTCTCTTCCTGCCTTCTCCACTTCTCCCACTACTGCCCCTTCTTAGAGTTCTTCCAGCTGTAACCCTAGGCAAGCTCTGACCCACCCTTACAAATCTACAAAACTGGATGGCCTGCTTTCCCACACAGAACTCCCTTAATCATTTGTGGCACATCAGTGGCATGAAGGAAGGCATTTGGGAATCAGTACACTCCATTTTTCAAGCAGCTTCCTTGATTGTCTGGACTTGGTTTTTGCTTACCACAGACTGCAAAGCAGGTGGCTCTTGTAATCCTGCTGTAAAGTGTGTTTTCAAGCTCAGTTCCCTTTCTGTAAGGTGGAACAATCTCCTTCCTTATGGAATGTAATTCATTCCTTAGTTCATGTGTTCTTGTTGAAGATTTATCAACATAGTTTGACCATGTAGCCACTTTGCCTATTAGATATCCCCAGATCTATTTCATGTTCTGTATTACAAGAAAAACAGGATTAAAACAAAGGGGTGGGTATAAGAGCTTGGAGGTATCTTTTATTTCATACCAAACATTTCAACCAAAATGTTGAGAACATTCTTTGGAAGGAATCTTCTCTTTCCCCCTCCTGCAGCCTGAGTCATGTTCACATTGTATTTCAAGGACATGTGACATGCTGTGTACCTGGTCTTTACTAGAACATTCAGATAGGTGACAAACCATAGATTTGGGATCCTGTGCGTTTGAAAAAGGAATAGTGCAACAGGATCAAAATATGGGACTAAAATATACAGGAGGGAGCCTAACAAAAGAAACAAGGTGTACTAATGGGACCAAGATAATTTAATAAAATGCCCTTTTCTTCCCTTACTGTTACAACTTTGTTATGAAAAATCACATAGATTTCAAAAGCCCTATACAACAGTACCAGCCAAGTATTTAGGCTGGTTGCAAAAAGTTAATCCTCAAGCCATTATGTGGGAGCCATTAGGGCTTGCTATAGTGCTTTTGCAATTGCACTGTATCTTCTTTTCCTCTAGAAGGGAGGAACAGGCAGCAGTCTAGAGAAAGGCAAGAGTAGAGGTCTGACTATACTACAGAAAGGTCTCTGAACTCTCTTGCTCACATCCAAGATTGCAACAAAGTCACATTGGCAAGGGCAGCTTATGCTACAGTTTGACTCACCCCCATGTTCTAAATATAAATAATGTAAAAATACTGTCAACATCCCACTTTGCCCATTGCATCTGTTTCCTATCATCTGATAAACAGATATAACTTCTACAATTTCTCTTGCTTGCATTATGCCTCTAAAAACTTTCAGTCCTACAACTTAGAAATTTAATTTCTTTCAAAGGTGAAAGGACCATCACTATCTGATCCAAATGTTCTAGTAGACCTGTTCACTCCATGTTCTCCAGGAGAATCCGGTGCCATTGAAATGACATGGATGGATGTGCCAGGAGATAAACTACTGGAGCCTGTTGTTTCCATGGTCAGTCTTCACTTTGTATGGATATTTTTACCATAGTTTATCAGTCACAGAATTATGACAGATTCATAATAGAATCAGAAATATGATGTACCTGGTAAATGTTGGTAGATTACAATATTGGTCTGTCACATTGTGAATCACACTTAATCAAGGGAACTGCCAGTTCTTCCCACCTAGTCTGATCATCTTCCTGTTGTCACTTTAGAAGGCATATATGTCTTGCACTTCCCCATGTGTAAGTCAAGAATTATGAAGATTTGTCCTTGCATGAAGACCTGTTCTACATCTCACTGGACCAACATATAAACACTTTATGTGGATTGTACAGGCTAGTGTATCAGTACATAATACACACCAACATTCCCCTATAAAACGCATAGGGGGAAGCCAAAGAAATATTGGTGGATTCCCTTGCTGTAATTAGAAGTTCTTGCCAAATAGATACACAGTATTTCTTTTATTTATTTGAATTGTTTTTATCCTGCTCCTCAGCCAAAAAGCCTCCCAGATCAGTTTACATGTAATCTGTGGAACAGGGCAGGCACCATGAGCGGACTGTAAGCAAACATGAGCATAAGGGGGGGGGGGGAGGGAGAACAATGAAGAAAATTGAGTAGACTGTAAGCAGGACTTATAGTATGGGTGGCCTTCCCATTTTTATCTTCCTCAGTACAGCTCACCTACCTGTGTTACTTGGACTAGCTTAGCTTTCTCAAACTGCTTGTAAATTTATTACTCTTAAATCTGTTGCTTTGCTTCTAAACTTTTAAGTGAGCTGTAATTTAGCATGGAAGTCTCTGCTTTAAAAGTTGCAGGTAAGTATTCACACCTTTTGAAAGTCTCTGACAGGTCTGATAGATGCCAAATTGTCAGAAGTTGCAAAGCTAAATGATTACTATTTTAAAAAAGGGTCCCCCCCCCCGCATTTTACAGCAGAATTCCCATGTTTTCCAATGGGAGATTCAGTGTGCCTAGTACCCACTCAGTTTTGAACGTGTCCTCCTTGGGGGACACTGAAAATTAGAGGAGGTTCCCCATGATGAGTACTCCTGTTTGACAGGTGTCATACCTAGTGCTTTATTTTTGGAGTGGGATTTAGAAGGGCTTAGAAATTTCTTTATATCAGGACAGTATATGGCAGTAGTGGCCAGACTTGCTCAATGGAAGAGCCAAATATGATAAATGTCAGATGTTTGAGAGCTGCAAGCAGGTGCTCACAGGCAGTGAACTGTGAGCAGCAAAATAAACTCAAAGAGCTGCATGCAGTTCACAAGCCTTGGTTTGGCGACCCATGGTTTTTGGCATATAGACCTGTACTTTTTAATGCCAAAATATAAATGATTGCCACTTCAAAGTAGAAACCCCCCTGACTTTTGCAGCTCCCAAAGGCATTATCAATGTGGGGTCACAAGGAGAACCTTGGGACATGTGAACACTCCAAAAATAACCTTCAGGTTACTGCCAGAAAGGGAGTTGAAATTGAGGGAGTGCTTGCAAAATCCTTATTGGTAAGATCTTCGGGGAGGGGATGCTTATATTTTCCTGTGTTATCCTCACTTGCAAAAGTAAGGGCAACCCACAGACATGTGAGCACTCACCTGAGCACAAAGAGTGTGCTGCCAAGGGTCCTTTTCAGGTACTCCTTTTTAATAAAACTGCTTAAATCAGAATTTTGCAAGTTGCTTTTTTGCACATTCCCAGGATGTATCCAGAAAAAATAAGTTTTAAAAGGGTTAGGTCAAGCTGCAGTGAACCAAAACTTGGTATTTGCACATCCCAGATTCAGATGACATGGCAGTCCATTATGGGTTGAATAACCAGTAAAACAAGTCTGTGTTTGGATGACATCAGAACACACTGTGGCTAGTTACTCACAATTCTTTCATGCATACCCAGTCAAATAGCTGCTTTGCATGATCACTGCAGATTGAATGGTGGCTTGTTTAAGCTGCAGCTCATGCTAGGTGCCACTTTTTTTTAAAGATCCATCCAGCTGTAGCTTGTGTTGTTTGAACCTGAGTGGCTTGTTAGAGGAGGAGACAATTCTCAAATAATCCATGGTCTGTTGCATTATTTGAGGGTTCTCCCTCCCCCTCAAGCCATGCTGCCCAGGTTCAGCCACTGTGTAAACTGTGATCATGCAGACCACCCGAGGAGAAAAGTTCTGTATTCAGGAGGTATTCATCCTCACCCATTTACAGAATCCTTCCCAAACAGTTAAACTGGATGTTTTCCACCTGTTTCATTACTGGCATTCATTGCCTTGCAGCTGGAAAAAATACTTTCAGTCCCAACACATCTCAGTGATGTTGAGGTTTGTAGACCAATATTATCACATTCCATCCTTCTTTTAAATCATTCTATGTGATACTAGAGATGTTTTAATAGAAACAAGATTTGTCCTACAATGTAGCTGGCTGCTTCTATCTCCGTATTATTTGAATTTAAGCTAATCTTATCACATTATTATCCACTCCCGGTAGGTAATGAAGGAGCAGGGAGAGGCCATTGCTATAATTACCCTTCTGAGTTGTTTTATTAAAGCCCATACAATAACAAGGTTTGAGGCCCCAGTTAATAGAAGGGCAGCAACACCTAACTGCCAGTTGTGTCAATCATGTCTGTCACAATGGGATAGTAAATATTTCAATGATGTTGTGTTCCTGTGCCTCACTTTATTAATGTCTGGGTTTGAAAAATGCCATATGTAGGTTGTTGGAGCAAGCAGTGGGTTCATGCCATGACTTCTATGCCATATTAACTTGCCCAACATCCAGGGGTTATCTTATAACAACTACCTCCATTCACTTGCTTATTGCAAAATGTTGCTATTATTCCCCAGTCAAGTGCAAATAATATAATTTTAGATGACTTTTAGGTGTGTGGATTGTTGTTGTTGTTTTAATGCAGACTCTTAAGTCTGTTGTCTGATTTTAAGAAGTATTGCATTGTTTTCGTGTTTCTGTTGTGTAAGGTAGTCAACACTTCCAACAGTACTGCTTATTGTCCTGATCAAAACTCAGTATTTGTGCCATACTTAGTACAAACATTGCTGTGCCATAAACCTTCAGTCTTATGATCCTTGAAAATTAATGGGATTTACAAGTATCTAACTTCATCTGGGACTAAAGTTTAATTGAGATCCAACCTATTACCTCGATGTAAGGAGCTTTCAGATAAAATACCAGAAAGTTATGAATACATCATACTTCTTATATGATATGTTATTTTAGTGTGTAAGCATAGATGTGGATTGACGTTAAGAACTTGGCAATATTATCACAAAATTGTGTTGTAGCACTCATTACACTAGAGCAGGGCCTAACAGTTTGAGCAGTTAGTTCTGCATGTGCGTAGGAGCATCAGCGGAGCAGCTTCTATCTGAACTGCCCTGGAATTTTTATGCATACCCTACTTGAGAAGGACCCCTGTTGAATGAGGCTTAAGAACATAAAAAGAGCAATGCTGGATCAGACCAGTGGTCCATCTAGTCCAGTTTTCTGGCAACCCATGGATCTCACAAGCAAGATATGAATGTAGTAGCACCCTTCTGCCCAAGCTTCCCAGGACTTGTTAGCTAACCAGTAATCGGCACAAAAATATTTATTTATTCTCTGTGCTCACAGAATTTTTATCCCACTGAACAGAAAAGACTTCCAGAGTTGTTTGCAAACCATCAGTTAGAAACATTTGTTTCCCATAGGTATGCAGTCAAAAAAAGATACAATGCTCATAGGGAAAACTGAGCATAGTTTTTCAGCAGGGCTGGTTCCCCCTCATTTCCCTCTGTAGAGCCTGCTGAAATCCCTGCTAGAGGAGAAGGAACCTTCACAGGGATTGTAGAATGGTACTACTTTCATCTCTCTTCTTGGTCAAGTATGTCAGAAAGCGTTTAATTACCTATAATTCAAAGTGGGTGTGATGGTATCTAAATGTCATGGTTCCCAGTGTCAGATTTTAATTGCCCAATATTTTATCTGTACCTGCCTTAAAATGGCACTTAACGTGACTTACAAAAACAAATGAAATGGATTAAAATAATAAAACAATATGTCAAAATAGAATGAAATATGCAAAATACTAAAATAAATTAAAAACATATTGGACAACTTCTGTGCAGAACTGAGCAGCTGGCAAGACAGAAATAGAAAAGTTTAGACACATTATCATGGCTTCTACTTAGGGGTTTCCCCCCCTATATGTAAATCAATAATGGAAATTGTGGAGAATATGCTCTGTTTGAATTCATGGGGGTTTATATGTGTGTATACACAGAAAAATGTGCAGCTCCTGACTATTCTTTATCTCTGTGGCAGGCTGATATGCTGAGGTCATTAGCTAACACAAAACCCACTGTGAATGAACATGACCTGGAAAAACTAAAGAAGTTCACAGAAGACTTTGGACAGGAAGGCTAATCAAGTGACTGTTGCAATGCTAAATCTTCTTTTGGTATTCCTGCCTCTCTATTATCAATAAAAGAATTGCTCTTTCCTTTATTTCAATACGAACTGAAGAGCCATTTGCAAGGACCCTTGGGCTTTTGTATATCACTTTCCAGAAATATCTATCTACTCTGAGAGCATACTAGGATCTTGGTGGCAAAGAAGAAAGGAAAACGTGATGGCTTCATTTTTAAAATTGGCAGACCATTCAGGTATAAAGCCAGTTTTTTGAGTTTCAATTTTAGGTGATATATACTAGTTCTAGTTTATAAATATTTATAAACTCCTAGAGGCCTAAAAGAAAATAATATAAAAGGGGAGCAGAAGATCTGTTTGATTGCCAAGTGCTTCAGGGTCAGTTTCTTTGCAAAATAATCTTCCTTCTGAACTTGCCAATCTGAATTTGATATTTGTGGCCAAATGGGAGTTAAAAATAAAGAAAAGTTGGATTGGGAAGTAGAAAAGAAGACATTGCAGTTAAATATAGACCAGTACTTACTGAGTACAATATCCAACTGGTATTTTGTTTTCTGCTGTGTGCTATTTAGACATTGCCTTAAAAGCAAAAAGCATTGTTTTAATAATCACCTATAGACACTGTCACTGTGCAATCAACCAGAGAATAGACTAAAAATGTAAATATTGTGGAAGAAGATTCCCTCATTCTAGTTTTCCTCCAGCTTTTTTCTTTGTAAGAGTTCAAACAAAATATAGAATATATTCTGTTTGATAAGAATCCCTAAGCAAGCCTGTAAACAGGATTTTAGCCAGCTATTTGTTCATGGGAAGGGAAACTATCCTGGACTTCACCTTCTTTTCAAAGAAACAATGGGATCAACTACAGATGGGCCTACTAAACATCTCCAAGGTGCTATAAGATCAAAATAGAAATATTTAGCTTGTTATTATAATAGCTAAATATGTTAGAGATTGGTTGCCATTCCTTTAAACACAGTATAAGGGAACACTCGTGTTTTTTAAAGGTTATTTGCTAAGAACTATACCTCTTAGAAATGTGCCTGAGTGCAACTTAACCCTACTGGAGCCCGGTTCCAATGTTGTGCTGAACCTATGACTGAACTTATGGCTACAGCAAGTCTTGCATTAGTGTGGTTCTTCTTTGGCATAGCTACGAAGAAGAGTTTGGAACATTCTACTTCAAGTTCTGACTAACTGCAGTTTATAGTATCTTTTAGCTGTGTCACATACTTGTCAATAAGTGTGGTTTGTTTGACACAATCCAGCCTCAGTTCATTGGTTATGAAGTTGGCTTCTTTAAGCAAGCCATGGTTGATGATAATCAGAGTTCCATGCTTGGCTATCCACTAGACTGCAGTTAATGGAAATAAGTGGAAGCTTCCAAACTCTCAGCTATAACAGGGAAGTGTGCAAGCCCAGGTCTTGCTGCAGCTTTTCATGTCACAATAAACTATGGCTTAGTGTAATGAAACAAAGCCAGTGGCAGCACTGAGTTTGTGCCTTGTAGGTTTGCTCTGGGTGTAGAAAAGCAATCACTCTATTACCAATGCGATACATTGCATTACTGTTATAGAATTGGACATTATAGATACTTTGTGTGTTGAAAATTTCCATGTGAAGTACTGTATAGTCACCTCAGGCTTTGATTTTATGTACATAGTTTGTGTACTTTCTAAAATCATAGAACTGATTGAAATTTATTCCCAAATGAAGTAAAACACTACAATACTGGTGTATGCTCCTAGAGTTTTTTTTCTCTTTGGTCATCAAGTATCATTTATGTTGTCAAAATAACTTTAATAAAATCTTTTCACATGTGGAATATTCTGTAGCAAGTGGAAATTCAAATGGCATTTTGAGAGCTGGCAAAAGAGGGTTATTTTACTTTTGAAGACATATCCTTGCAACTGCATTTTACCACTGCAGTTTTTCATTTATGCCACATGCATTTTTAAAGAACACTAAGAACTCTTTGCTGTCCTCTTTCTGTGTTGTGTTCACTCAGAATTTATCCACCCAATTTGCTACAGCTTGCTTTTGATACATGCTGCACTATGCTGGCTTTCTAAAATGTACATCCTTGAAAAGAGTGATGGATTAATACTTGATTGCAACATGTTGAGTTTCGCCTTACATGACTGTTGTGATGTGTACACTCTGAAACAATTGGCACTTATATCATGGGGACTGTAGGTCACCAATCAAAGTTCTTGTGTAACAACTTAAAATCCAAAATAAAATAAAACTGGTGTTCTAATTCCATTTGCTTCAATAACTACTTGCAAGAGTTTTGCAATATAATCCATTTCTACAAGGTATTTATTTGGTAATCTCCAAATGAGGTTTTGTGGTGAGCTATATTCCAAAGTTGCCCATTCTGATAGTGAATAAAAAGTATGATTTGATTCCAGGTAAAGGCAATGAATGCTTTTTCTGCCATTTGCCATTAGGTTCTCAATATATTCCATCTTTCAGAACACCACAGTTCTAGAACTGTGCAAGTTTTTCACATACTTTATCTGAAAAAATATATGAAGAAAATAAATTTTTGCGGGGGGAGGGGACAGCCATAACTAGCAATAATAAAGGCAATAATATCTTATGGACTGTTTTTCCACTATTTTCAATAAATGGGTAGTGACCAAATATGAGAAAGCTTCACATCTGCTCATAGACTTAAGAAATGCAACCAACTAGGGCTAGGGCTAGGGCTATTTTTATAGGGCAGGAAATGGCTAATTTGGGCCTTAGTTCCACATAAGTATGCACACTGCAATCTTAGATTGCTTGGGAAATGGGGATAATTAATCCCTGATCCATTTTTCTATGGATCAGAGTAGAATAGGAGGCATACCTTTTGTTACCCAAAGTAATAGTTGTTTCCCAAGAGGGTCCCTGGGTTCATTTTGCACTTGGAGGCTGGAGAGTAATAATGGCTATTTTATCTTTTTTTTTTTTTTAAATAGTGGGCATTTTGAAGGTGTAAGTGGTGTTAACAAAGGAGTGCCTCAGAAAGTGGGACACAGACTTGTGCTGGATGAGTTTTGATGCCTTTGCTTGGTCTGCTGCCCTTAACCAGCTGGAATGGGTTTGCAGTCCTGAGAGTTGCCACTGTGTGTGTGTGTCCACCCTACCCCTCATAGAGCAGCCATGTGAAGATGCAAGTGACCATGGGTTGTGAATCCGCAGCCAGTTATATTGATTTTGGATCCTTAGGTGCTTGTGTCATGGGTACTCTTTCCTCACTCCAAGTCCTATATATAGACCTATGGGTGGGCATGATAACAGTAACTGAAAGGAAGATCATAATCCTTTAAAGTGCCTGCCTTCATCACTCAGCAAAGCAGAAGATGGAAGTCTTTTAACAAAGGTCTATATAGCATGAAGAAGTGCTGGGAGAAGCAGCTGAGCAGTATAATTTACCATACTTGTGATTTTAAACTACAGTTTAAAAAATACATTTCAGGAATCCCCAATCTTTGCTGATATTCTGGACAAAAAAGCCATTCACAGAAAATGTATATATCTGCAATACTCACTGAATGAAGGTCATCACCTGGCAGTCTGCTCTAAATACAGTCTAGCATGAATCGTATCATAAAATACATTATGTCTCCAGGATAACAAATCTTGCTTGCTTGCAAAGGTGAGGGATGTGTCAGTGATACTGTTCAAAATTCTCATGAATGTCTTTTAACACACAACACATTCTATTATGGAAACTGTTTTTTAAAGTATGCATTGATAATGTGCTGCATTTGCTTACCATTATGGACAAGGTCCTCAAGTGCCTTTGTTGGAGGACAAACTACCTGTTCAAAGCTGTGAGGATCCAAAATTATGTTTCATGTTCCATGAATGCAAAAGCAGCTCTCATGAGTCAACCCAGGATGATATTGCATTGTCACTGCAGAGCAATTAATCAGACACAGAGCATACCAACTGACAAATAAAATTACAAGAGTAATTTTATGTGTGTGCAGTCTAAAAAGTGAATTCTTTTCCCCCTGCATTCACTAGTGAAGGAAAAGGGTACGTATGTGAACATAAGAACCATGCTGGATCAGATCACAAGTCCATCCAGTTAAGCCTTCTGTTCCTGCAGTGGCCAAACGGATGTCTCCCATGGGAAATCTGCAAGTAAGACAAGAGTACAGCAGCACTCCTGCCTGCACTCCCAAGCAAACGGTGTGTGTTGGACTACTGCTTCTGCTACTGAAAGTGCAATACAGCCAGTGCCATATTCTCCAAGAGATTGCTTAATCCTCTCTTAAAGCAGTCAAAACTGGTGGCTATCATTACACCTTGTGGTAACAGATTCCATAGTTTAGCATACGAAGAAGCATGACAGATCAATCCAGGGCCTATGTAATCAGCCAATGTTTCTCTCTCCTGGTACAGAAAAGCAGGTTGCTTACCTGTAACTGATGTTCTTCGAGTGGCCATCTGTGCATTCACACATACGGGTGCTGCGCCTGCACAGTGCCTAGGCTGGAAGATTAGAAAGCTAACGGTTTTGGCTGGAAAAACTTCGCTCCCCTCCCCCTCAGTGGTATAAATAAAGTGGAGTGTCAGCCATTTTACTCAGTCTTGAAGACTGAACATTCGCCCCCTAGAGGTTGAGAGCAGAGAACAACAATAATCAACAGTACCGAAAATTATTAGAGCGTGGTAACCAAGAAAAAAATCATCCATTCACCGACACCGAGCGGGGCCAGCGGGTGGGTTGTGTGAATGCACAGATGGCCACTCGAAGAACATCCGTTACAGGTAAGCAACCTGCTTTTCTTCGTCGTGGCCTCTGTGCATCACACATATGGGTGATTAGCAAGCTTACCAAACTCGGAGGAGGGAGGTGTCATCAGCGAAGAATAAATGAAAGAACAGCTCTGCCGAAGGAGCAGTCCTGTCTGGTGCGGACATCTAGTCGATAATGTTTGGCGAAAGTACATGGAGCAGCCCACGTCGCAGCTTTGCAGATATCCTGAAGCGAAACCCCCGCAGCAAAGGCAGACGAAGTCACTACTGCTCGCATAGAGTGACCTCTTGCAAACGCAGGTAAGTCTATGTGCGATAGCTGGTATGCCAAGATGATAGTTTTGACGATCCATTTAGAGAGTCTCTGAGATGTGACCAGGGACCCTTTGTCATGCTCGGAGTACTTAACAAAGAGTCTATTAGAACGACGAAAGGGTTCTGTATGAGATCTGTAGAAGGCTAAGCAACGTCGAACATCAAGCGTGTGAAGAGACCATTCTATCGGATTCGAAGGCGATGGAAAGAACGCCGGCAAAACAATCTCTTGACTCATGTGGAACGGCGTAGCCACCTTAGGAAGAAACAATGAATCCATCCAAAGAACAACCTTTTTCTTATGGAAATTCAAATACAGTGAGTCTATACGAAGAGCACAAAGTTTGCTAGCTCTCTGAGCTGATGTGACTATTATAAGAAAGGCCGTTTTCCAAGAAACAAGGCATAGGTCCACGGTCACCAGAGGTTCAAACGGGGGCTTTGTAAGTGCCTGAAGTACTACAGAGAGGCTCCATGTTGGCATAGCAGGACAAATGGAAGGATGTAAGTTCTGCAATCCCTTAATGAAGCGTCAAACCAGAGGTTGAGAGAAGACGGATGAGCCTTGAACAGCGCCACGATAATGCGATGTGGCGGCTGCATAAACTTTAATGGATGAGGGTTTCAGTCCTGAGTGATACAGTTCCAAGAAGAATTGTAAGATGTTCTCAATCGAAGCCATTCTAGGAGGAAACGAATGGCGTTCAGCAAAAGATGAGAATCTCTTCCATTTAGCTGCATAAGACCGATGGGTGGACAGTCTCAAGGCAGATTCGAGACTCGCCTGAATCTCTTGATTGAAGGCTGTCGGTACCGAAGTGGTTGTTGTTGGATTCGAGGGAGGAGCCTTTTGTACAATTCGTTGAACAGGGTCCTCCATTGCTTGAGATGCCGTCGGTATCAAATCAGTCAAATGGTTTAGCTGATACACCAGGCCGTCAGCTTCAGGGAGGTCAAATCTGGATGCCTGATTGCTCTGTTCTGCTGAGGAATGGTTGGGAGCTGAAGAAACATTCCTCTGGCTAGTCAAAGGAGAGTGGCAAACCAGGGTTGCCTCGGCCACCACGGAGTTACTAATATCCCTGTGGCGTTGTCTTGAGCTATTTTAGATGCTACTTTTATCAAAAATGGGATCGGACGGAACGCATAGAAAGTCATATTGTCCCAAGGGATCATGAGAGCATCCCCTATCAATCCCGATCCGATGCCCACTTTCGAGCAGTACTGATCGCACACCCTGTTGTCTTGGGTAGCGAACAGGTCCATGTCTGGGTAACCCCATAAACAGAAGAGGTTCTCGCAAATTTGTCTGTCCAACCCCCATTCATGGGTTGTTGACATCTGTCTGCTCAACGTATCTGCTTCTACGTTGTCAGTTCCTGCCAAGTGAACCACTAGGAGCAGTATGCCTCTTGGGATACACCAATCCCAAATTTCCATCGATAGACGTGCTAAAGTTGGTGACTTTGTGCCGCCCTGCTTGTTGATGTAAAAAACAGGAGCGATATTGTCTGATGCAATCTGAACAACTTGGCGGCACAGTACGGTCTCGAAAGATTTGAGAGCGTTGAAAATTGCCGAAGTTCAAGGAAGTTGATATGCTTCATTGTTTCTCGTCAGTTCCAAGTCCCTTGGACCCGAAGTCCCAAACATGCTGCACCCCATCCGAGTAGCGATGCGTCGGTGTACAGGGTTGTCGTTGGTTGAGGTGGTCGGAACGGGACGCCGATAGACAGGTTGTCTGGAGTAGTCCACCAAGTCAAAGTATGAAGAATCAACAGCGGGATCCAAATCAGCTTGGTGGGAGAATCCCGTTGTGGGTGAAATGATCTCTTGAAGAACCGTTGTATGGGCCGCAAACACAGTCTGGCGTATGGGACAATGGCAACTGCAGCAGCCATGTGTCCCAGTAGTCTCTGAATGGTTACGGCTGGTACCGTCCAGTGCAGTCGGATTCGATGGATGTGGCTGCAGAGGGTTCAACGGTTTGGAGGAAGAAAGGCTCTTTCTCGAGTAGAATCGAGATGTGCCCCAATGAAGTCGATGACCTGCATGGGAATATGGGACGATTTCTCATGGTTAATGCAAAGTCCAAGATCATCAAGTAGAGCGCAAGTCATGTGTACAGCTAAGAGAAGGCCGTGTCTAGTCTGTGACACAATGAGCCAATCATCCAAATACGTA